ATTTTATCCGAAAGTATCGATAAATTTCTGGAATATTTTCATATTTTCATATTTTCTTCGTTTCTTCGTTGTTGTATTAGTGAAGGTAGGAATGTAGGATCGCTTAAACTTGATTAATTTATTACTTATTCGTTAATTGTAATTCTTTACTTCTCTTAAAAGCCACTAATTCTGTCTTTTACTGTTACAAGAATTTTTAAAAGGATATCATTGAAAATACAAGTCGCATTTTCATTATTAATAATTCAGGAATTACACAATTAAGAAATTTGCATTTAAAACAGTGAGCGGACATGATTTCTCTAATGGGCTAAAATTGATAAATCAAATGGTCTTTAATTTTTTACAATATGTTATAAAATAAGTGCAATTGCAATAAAATAAGTAATAAGATAATAATTGAAGCAAGTTATTTCCTATAGAATCCATATAAAACTTCTCCAAGTAACTATTATTTTATTTCTTAACTTGAATTTAAAGTTATCGATACTTGATTATGAAGAAACGAGCTCGAGCGACAAATTAAATGAAATTATAATAATTTGAAGACTAATCGATTAAACAAAAAAACCCTGCCGTTCGATTTTTCGATTAAAATACTATTTTCTCTTATCCATCTTTTTTCCTTACTTTTTAAGCGATGGATATTGTGCCATTGGCAAATGTCGCATACGGTGATTCATCCTCTGTAGCTCCTTGGCCCTAATAGTCCAATTGGCTTGGAAAAGCTCGTTCTAGTAAAATCTAATAAAATCTACTAATACACTTGACATTTCATTAAAAAAAACGAAAAAAAAAAAAAAAAAGCTAATCTTACGTCTCTGTTGTTTCTGTCTGTCGTCTGCTGCTCGGTGATGGTATGTTAAGTGGGACCGATCGAGTACGCGAATAGATTAAATGGGCCGATGCAAACCGCCGAAAAATACTCCATACCAGATTGTTCGCTAATCTCTCACTTGTCTTTTATTTATTTAGTGTGCGGTGGCTCGTTTTGTAACAATATTATTTGGAAGGGTCAAAATGCTTATACAAGTAATCCTTGAGCTTTGGGAAACTTAAAGTAATCCTAGTCACCGGTAGATACTTAGATACTTATTCTAAAAAGAACAATACTCGCAAAGTTGCGTATATAATTAGAGTTTTCGGAGCCTTCGAGAATTTTAATTATTCCTCTAGTCATTACTTTGTTAATTCGTTCATTGATTATCTTAGGGATGATATTGTATTGTTGCCTAGATTGAATTGAGGAGTCGAAAGTGGAAAGTCACTCGAGATAGTCGGGTGAGGATTTGAACATTGTTTATTTCTTTTATGAATATGATTTACGGGGTGATGAAAGTGGTCGTTCATCATAAAATGACAAATCTCATTTTTAATGGTATACCGAAGACGATGCTATGCCCATGATCGTTAGTTTTCGAAGAAGGCGTGGATGGATGTGTGTGTGTGTGTGTGTGTTTCTCCCTCTCTCTCTCTCTCTCTCTCTCTCTCTCTCTCTCTCTCTCTCTGTGCGTCCGTGCGCGCGCGCGCGTGAGGAAACAATACCATGTAAGCGTTCAATTTAATTATATATGATGTTCGTAAAGGATTCTAGAGGATATTACATTATCACAGTGTGATAATGGTCAGCAGACTGCTGTTTTAATTCAAAGAGCTCCGAAAAGCCAAATCACTCCAGCACTTCCTCTATGCTTTTTTTAATTTTCTTCGCACAATTTGTCAATGACAGGATCAAATGATAAAATAACAATGCGTAAAAAATGATTGATGAATAAGTCAATAAGACTTTCCAATTCGCAATAACAAATTATTATAATGATATTGATGTAAAAGGAAATATATATGCGTGTAAAACTGAAAGACTTCATTAAATAAATTTCATATGAGTTAAATAGTAGCTGCTAACATAATAAATTCTGAAGTATTAATGGGGCATATCATGGCGATGAAAATTTAATAATTTATTTATTCAGTGTAGGCCAGTATCGTATATTTCTTAATTGATAATACAATAAGTATAAGGAATTAATGTAAACGAAACGATTTATTTTAATTTTTATATTTAAAGTTTTGGTTTTACTTAGTCGAATAATATCGTAATATCTTTAACGATTGACTTATTTAAAATACTTAATTATTTAATTTAATCACAATGCAGAACCTTTTTTTTTTTTTTAGGTTCCACCTTTATAAGTAGATTTTGTTAACACTTATATTAAATTATCTTTAAGGTGCAAAATAGCTTTAAATGCTTTTATCGATACTCGTAGTAATTTAAAATGAAAGAAAAATATCATTAAGGCCCTTAACTTGCCGTCCCTTACTTTCGTATATTTTCATTTTTTATTTTAACATATATTAAGTTGAGTAATTATTAGTAAAGTCAAATATTATGTATGAAAATAATTTTTCATTTAATCCTACACATGTATTTTTGCAATATATATTCTATGTATATTTAATTGTTCGTTCAAGCCTTACTTTTGTAGCTGTTGTGGATTATGTAAATGCGTAGGGCATTTTTATGCAAAAAAAAAAAAAAAAAAAACAATTTAGTGAAAAATACTGATCTCTTGGGACTGTAATCTGTAAAATTGTAAATAACTATATTTACAAAAATATAACGTTACATGTAAATTAATTTCTTATTTACTTGCTAATAAATATTTGATGTTTGGTTATTCATTGTAATATAAGTTTTAAAAATTATTATTTACCTAAAAAACATTTATTATTAACTCCGGAACCAATACGTTCGATATTAGCGAGGAGTTTATACGGTATAAACGAGTATAGATGACAATGTCGCTAACTTAGTACGCATAAAGGAGAAAGCCATGGAAAATATCGAGAATATGATCCACAATTTTATATGATAGTAAAATTATCCGTTCCATCGAGATTTACAATAATCATAAATAATATTAATTATTTATTGGACAAATAGAATAACTCTCCATTGTATTTACACGAGTCTTCGTTGTATCTGCTAACAGTTGATAAGAGCAACAACAACAGGGACAAATTTACTTTGAGTCCTCGGGAAAGTCACAAAATTACCAACATCTCAAATCCCATACGACGACATCGATGAACAATGTATAGTAAGTAAATTCCGATGCCAATAAATCAATGGCCATCACGACAAATCGTATCGTGAATAATAATGAACATGTGCCAATAAGTTCTCTCGACTTATATCGGCGGATAATCTACGTATCAAATTAAATTTTATTTTATTTCCTTTCAAAGCGATAACAAAAACTTAAGGTGAAACAATACTTTAAAAACTTATATTTTAAAATACTCGATATAAAGTTATAAATTTAATTCGCTTCATCGATGACATCCATTCATTTACTATATGATTTACTATATATATATATATATATATATATATATATATATATATATA